ACCTTGACTGACAAACTTTCTTTACACAAGAAGCTGATCATATTTAGGCATCCCCAAGGAATGTTAAAATTGGCCATTGGTTTGTGTTTATCCCTGACACTTATGGTTCTTTGGCCAATTGTGAAACATGACTACTCATTTCTTAATTATAGGAGACTTGGAGGAGCAAGAAAAGCCAGACACTATGTAACTATTTTGGTTGTTAAAAAGGAAACATTTCATGAATAGATACTATGTTCTCAAAATTCTAGATAAATGAAGTTTCCTTCACATAGAAAATGACTTTGTGATGATATTCTAGAGGTTAAGATTAAAGACACATATCTCTCTACCCAATGGCATCATTCATAGTCTGCATTTAGTGTGCATTATATTCCTGGAAAGCAGTTATTTTAGCTTCTTTAATGAAGAAGACTGGAATATTATTAAATTTTGAATTATATAAATTATTAAATAAATAAGTTTACATATATGTTAAATGGTCATTGACAATTTGCACTTCCAGCTACCTCACTTAATATGTGAACCTACTTACTAGTCATTCTGTCTTGGTAGATAGATACTATGTTTCCCATTCTGTCAATGAGAAAGCTGAGTTGGGTGCTGGTGGCTCATGCCTGTAATCCTAGCTACTCAGGAGGCTAAGATCTGAGGATCATGGTTTAAAGCCAGCCTGAGCAGAAAAATATGTGAGACTCTTATCTCCAAGTTATACAAATAAAGATAGAAAAAAATGGCCTCCACATTAAAGCTACCAGCACAACTATATTCATTGCAGCATTATTTACCATAGCTAAGATATGGAACCAACCTAGATGACCCTCCATAGATGATTGGATAAAACAAGTGTGGTATATATACACAATGGAATTCTATCCTTCCATAAGAATAACATCACTCAATTTGTAAGGAAATGGACTTAGAAAAGATCATATTAAGTGAAGTAAGCCAGACTCAAAGAAATATAGATCCCATATTTTCCCTTATTTGTAGTAATAATATATTGTCTAGGATGGTCCTAGGAGAGATCACAATAGCTCCATAGCTGTGTGCATATAACCATATAAAATGATTGAAATGAACTCCAAGATGTGGAATCAATATGGTTTTGTTTGTTTGTTTTTAGTACTACTTTTTGTTTTGTCGGTTGTGGGGCTTGAACTCTGGGTTATCCTTTAGCTCTTCAGCTCAAGGCCAGCATTCTACCACTTGAGCCACAGCGCCACTTCCGTTGTTTGTTTGTTTTTAATGTACTGTGTGAAGTTATTTTTTTTCCTTTGGTTTATCCCCACTTTTTAAAAATATATATTTTTTATTGTAAAGATACTGTACAGAGGGGTTACAGTTATATCAGTAAGGGAATGAGTACATTTCCTATCAAGCATTGTTACCCCTCCTTTGTTTTCTTCCACCATCCCTTCCCTCCCCATCTCCCAACTCCTCCTCCTTCCCCTGTCCCTGCCACAAAGTGGTAAAGTTTGTTTTCAACACAGTGTCTTGTACATCTCATTGTTACAATGGGTCATCCTATATATCCTTATTTCAGCATTTTGTTATTTCCCTTCCCCTCCCTAAATTAGAAAAATGCAGGACACTGGAATCAAATACAGTTACATCAGGGGTTGTACCATGGGGGAAGAACATACAAGGAAACAAAAAAAAATCACATAGGACTTTATAGGTACATTAAAAAGAACAACAAGAAAGATAAAAATCCCTATCTTGAGGTTCATTTCGCTTAGCATCAGGTTATATGGTCATATGTACATAGCTTTTGACCTCTTCTGCTTGTCCTAGAAATATCCCCACTGTTTTTTATTTTGTGTCTTGTATATAAGTTTCTCTGATTTGGGGAAGGAAAGGGGAATCAAAAAATGGTAAGACAAAGGATGAGGTGTGAATCACTGCAACAGTGATACTCACAAGACATTAAGTTGGAGATGAACTTTACAACTTGGAGGAGGGCAGTGGGGGGGGCAGGGAGGGAAAATGGGAGAAAACAAGAGGGGGTTAACAGGTTCCACAAGAAATGTACTCATTGCCTTACTTATGTAACTGTAGCCCCTCTGTACATCACCTTTACAATAAAATAAAATAAAATGAAAAAAAGACATATATCCAATACATTTCACTAGGAGGGTTTCTATCTACATAAATGTCTTCTTCAATTTTCCTCAGTGCAAGACTAGGCACAAATTGCAAAGAGAAAATGTTCTTGGATGATGATTAATGTTCTCTAGGACCAAGGTCTTAAGTCAAGGACCTGTACTTTGTTGTGTTAAAGTTCTGTGACATACTCAGTTTTAAAAGTATTTATTTGGGAAATAGGCTTATAGGAAAGATGCAAAGTAAGTTCATGTTTTAAAATTCGTTTGAAAATTAAATAGTTTTTATACTGATGATAAAGAATATTAGTATTTATTTTTCCAAGTGATTTTAAAGACTCCTATACAAAACTGTACATAATTCACACAAATAAAAATAGGGATCTTTATTTCATAAAGCAAAGCTGAGATTTTGGATTCATGTGATGTTTAAGATTCTAGGTAGTTTGGTTATTGGTAAATAAGAAAGGGTAAAAAATGTTTTATGACTCATTATGAAAATTTATCCTTTTTTATTTTGAGGTAGGTATCTCAAAGGTCTATATGCTAAGTAACTCACAATAGTAGACATAATGTAGGTAATCGATGAATGTGTAATATTTTTAAAAATTTAATAATCTAATATGGCTTCTTCCTATTTTTATCATCTTGCAATATTGCCACATTTCCACTCTACTTTGTATCTTAGTCTTAATAGCAACTTCTCTAATGTATTTTGCCTATCCTACTGAAGCAATACAATCCTCCAAATCTCTTGTCCACATAGAAGACAAAGTATCATTTTCCAATCCAGAACTTTATAAGTAGAAACATTTGTAGAGATCCTCATTTTAAGAAGCTTTAAAAACTGGATTTGTTATGTATGTTCATGGTAAAACCTGATCTGAACTAATATGATGTTAATTATAGTAATTATTTACAGCATCTAGTAGGAATCAAGGAAATATTAGTATGTCTGGTTACAGAATTGTTTCCTAGGCTCCACTGTAGGTATTACAAAATTCACAGTATATTTGGAGGAATGCCTTTTGAAAATCTGAAAATACTGCAATTTTGCAATTTAGAAGCAGTCACTAAAGATTTATGTAAAGAATTGAAGATCTATGATGAAATTATTACTAGTAAAGCTTTGCATCTGATAAGAATAAAAGGGCTTGAGGGTATACAGTCTTTCATGAGACAAGAATAATATTTGTGGTTCCTAATAGATGAGCGTGAAAGAGAGACAAAGACAGAGGCAGAGACAGAGACAGAGAGAGACAGAGACAGAGGCAGATAGAGAAAGGAAGAAAGGAGGGTAAGGAAAGAAAGAAGACACTGAAGAATTTTGAAATTAGATGTCTAATGTTGCTTCTCCTGATACATCCACATATTGCTTCACAGGCTTCACAGAGAGAGGGGAGGGAGAGAGAGAATGGAATTTAGGTGGCAAAGAGGATTACAATGGTGACATTAGTATATGTACATACACATTTGCCATACACACTAGTGGTTTAGATTAGATAGATAGATAGATAGATAGATAGATAGATAGATAGATAGATAGATAGATAGATAGATAGATAGATAGATTGAGGAAAGTTGTTTCACTAGCATCCTCCAATGAGTCAACTATACAAAGGAACAGTAAGGACACCTATGCCAGTGCCTTGTTTAATGGTGTTCCAAAGTGCTGTTATGTAAATCAGTGCATGTTAAGGCACATTACTTATTTTCACACAGATGTTTTAGATTGTAGATACTATTCACTGTGTCCCGTGAGATGTGGTAGCTGTTCTAGAATGGAACCCAGTCATTTGTAGAAGACCCTTAAATCAAGTATTGCCTTTATTGGATTCTGATTGTTCTTCCTTTATATTCTTTGTGAGAATGTAAACCTATCATAAAATTTTGAATAGATGCTTAAATGTCTTGGCCAGTGCTTCCTAGCAAGAATTTCTGTCTATGTGTGTGATTTTTTTGATAAGTGTTTTATGTTCTTTTGTGCTTTGCACGTACACATCAAAGCTCTATATTTTGTGATCTCAAATCAATGCTGCTACTTTCTGGGATATGACTACCTAGTGCCCTTCTAAGACTGGGTCAGTTGGCTCTTGCATCTTCTATTGTAGTAAAAAGGAAAAAAAAGGATAGTCTGAAAGGTAAAGATTTAAACTTGGGGTTGATTGGTAGGATACGTTGGTTTTATAAGCCATAGGTTTTTTAAATGATAAATGCAGATGATAGTATTGAAAATATTCTCTTTTTGCCTTAAATCTTTGTTTCTTAAGAATTCATCTAAGAGTAAAATTGACAGTATTTTCCTTTGGTGTTAGCATAGCCCTGCATAGTTTTACTATCATTATATTAATTCACAGACTGGCACTTAAGAATTGAAGGATATTTAACTTGCTCTTTAATGGACCTCTGTGTCAAATATATGGAAATTTGTGTTGGTTCTAATTGTCATAGTCTGGTGATTTAATTTGTCAGTAGAAAAGTCTCCTGAACCTAGAGCAATTGCATTTTTTGCAACCTTCATGATAAGTACTTACAATACAGACTCCTGATTTCTTCTCTGTATCCTGCATATTGTTGAAAAAGCTGAGCTATTTTTAACATTTACACAATTTTGAAAGAGGATTTTTCATTCCACAACGTTTGGTGCTAAGTCTGTGGAGCCTTGCCTAATTATATCCTTTTTGTGGTTTGTTTGAATTTGATCACAGTGGCTGATTTCATGCATTGATAATGAAGGCTTAGGTTGCCTGTTTCTCTGCACAAATCCACCTCAGACTTGCACGTTGACAGTGCTCTGGTTTCAGCACGCATGGAGATACAGAATTGAAATTGCTCTGCTTTCTTTACAAATGACTCAGAGTGTGCTTGTCCTTCCCTAAAATGTTGCCAGCGTGTAAAGGATTTTCAATGAGCAGTGCAAGAAGCCAGCAACTGGGAAGGTTTGGAGCAGCAGGGATATAACGTGGTGCTGTCACAGGGATAATCAGGCTGGAGCCAAGTCCCGGTAGCTCTGTACATTACCCTGGTCACATCCTGGAAGTTTTGTTCACTCAACTTGGTTGATTGTGAAGCTGGTAAGAGCCCTGCCAGGATGTGGAATGGACTTCCTAGCAGAGGTGAGCATTTTTATTCTAAAACTTAGCTGATGGGGTCTGGGATGTCTGTAACGGATTCTTTCTAACGTTGCTCTGCATCCTGTAGAGTCATCAGTGGTGTTGATCGTGTCGTGCTGATACATCTGAAGGAGAAAGCCAAAGAGCCAATGCTGGATTTTTAAATTTTATTGAGAAGTAACTCCTTAAATTGGATGTGATGAGCATCCTTTTCTGTCTGTATTAGCTGTGTGCAGGAGCATCTTTCTAGTAGATGACTTCCTTTGCATTTTAAACATTCAGAATAAGTCAGTGATGTTATGTGATCTGCTATTATTCACCAAAGCAGAAAATTAGCAGGGCTATTATGTGCTTCAGGTACCTAAAAATTAAAAAGCTATAAATTAAATGCATTTTGTGGGATCTCTGACATAAAAAAAAATGTATAGGAGGAACTGAGTCATGTTTATGAGATACCTAACAAAGTAAGAGGAATGGCTTACATACAGAAATTAACATATTGTTAAATCTGACATTATTAATAATTAAAAGTTAGGATCAGTCAGAGAGTGGACAATGGTGATGTGCTAAATGACAAGAGGAAAAGACTAGAATATTTGCATAAAGTGTGTTTAATTAGAGGTGATATTTACAATATATCAGGTCTTATCATTTAAATGCAACTTCTCTTGGTTCTCCCCTGGAGAAGTTACAACCCTAAATCATCACATTGTGCCCAGAAAGGTTTGAGGTGAGATCAGGGCAGGCTCAAAGTTACCCTCTTATGAGATGGGTCCTGCTGCTTAAGCTCTGGTATCCTTTAATTCTACAGACAAAACTCTGCTTCTTAAACAAGAGAAAGAAATGTGAGGTTTATTAGGTATTCAAACAAGATTATATTTATTAAGTATTTCATCTGTTAGGTCTGCAGAGAAATCTATTTTTATTTGATTGGAAGCTAACATGGCACATGGGTGTGTGTGTATGTGTGTTTTTCTTGCTAAATTCATTTGAAGGCAGTTGTTTTATAGCTTCAAAGTTATAGATAGGTAAGCATGTGTTTGTTTGACAGAAGACTTGAGAACCCTGTTTACTGCCAGTACATGTAAAGCTTGACTAAGCAGAACGCATCAGGAGCAAACCATTTGTGTTCACCATTCTGTCTCGGCAAGTCCCAGGGCCACTATCGTGCTAGAAGCCACCGTGTGCTTTTGAAAGCATGAAATTAGTTTTATACTAAGCACATGGTTTCTCATTTAGTAGCTCTTTTTATGGTAATGGTCAATTTATGGTTCAGTGCCAGGATTTCAGCGTTCTGTCAAAGCTGATTGCTTCTGCTAAGGTGTCTCTATGAGATTAAAAAAAAAAAAGTGGGGATGTAGGAAGAACCTAATTAGAACCTGAAAACAGAAAGTTTTGCCTTCAGCCTCATCTACTCTTTAGAATGTAGTTATTTCTTCAACGATCTTTGTGTTGGTTAATCCCAGATCTCCAGATTTAAAGTTGCTAATGTCTACCACTATGGACCTTCCCTAACATATGACATCAAAATAGTAATGTTCTGAAATGTAAAGTATATTTATCTTTCTGCGATAGATTGGTAGAAAAATACTCTATTCATGTTGACCATATTGTGCAATTCAGCATTACACTTATCTGCTTGTCCGGTAATGCATTCTTAAGCACTAATGCAGGTTATGGAAGGCTTTTGTACATTGGCTATTTGATATGAACTACTGATGCTTTGTTACACATACATATATCATGAGTGGGATCAGGTAAGGTTCACATTAAAACAGTCTCAAGATATAGTAAATAAAAAAAATGTTTTTCATGCTTTTGTTTCCTCAGTATGCTAAATATGAGATGGTAAGAATGCTTTCCTTAGCCTTGTCATTCTACCTGAAAGTGATCCCTGTTACAAGTTTTTGAACTAGAGGTGATCTGATTTACTTAGACATCTAGGGAATTTTTATTGTGTGTTTATTCTCTGCAGGTGGATTATGACACACATAGGAATGATGCTAATAGGCTTTTCCTCTTGTGTGGTCTTGAAAATGGACTAAAAAATCTCTCTGAAATATTGAATTTTAATTATTCTCTTGCTAATCCTTCCATCTTTGCCTAGGTTAAGTGTTTGCATATAATTAGGGATTCAAGATAAAAATGTTACTATTAAATGCAAGAGTGCAATATGTTCCCTTTCAGTTAGAAAAATTTTTTTGTTAATGGATACAGCATAATTTTCAGCAACTTAATTTTTTTTCTATTCTCTTAGGAATATCATGTCACAAGCCCTCAACACATTGTCAGAGTGTTTTTGTTTTAGACTTTAAGTTACAAATAAAAGACCTCATATTTATCAATTCCTCAAAGCTCAATAAATTGTTTGTGAGCTGAAAATTAGAAAATTAAAAGCACCAAAAATTTCCATTTGAAATTCCTGATGATGTAATGGGATTAGCAGATGAAGCCCTTTCACAAATTTTTAGACTGTCAGAATTGTCCTAGTGAAATTTGTCATATTACACAGAATAAAGAAATCACTCAGGGCAATAATTTGCCATATCTGCCTGACATCTTAATAGCAATTCTTCTTTTACAAGGATTAAAATTTAGGAAGCCATTAAGAAGTGATTTTTCAGTGATTTAACAGCAACTTTCCACTTTTATATCAAACATTGGCAACCTTAACTGTTACTCCATTTAAAAATAAATACTGGTGCTCATGTGGAGTACCAGTGGCTCACAACCATAATTCTAGCTGCTCAGTATGCTGAAACCCTGAGGATCTTGGTTTGAGATCAGCTTGGGCAGAAAGTTTGATGTTCAATCTCCAATTAACCAGCAGAAAGCCACGTTGAATGTATGGCTTAAATAGTTGAGCACCAGCCTATCAAGATTGAGGACCCGAATTCAAATCCTATACTACAAAAAAGGTTACTTATGAAATAATGCAGATAAAGTAAACCTGTTGGTTAAGAATATTATTGTGAAATCCAAGTACTTTGCATTTTCACTGCACTTCTATAATTGTATAATTCAATAGTTAGCTTACATGATTTGTAGAGGTCTTAATTTGTTTAGAGCTGTGTTGTTGAGGCTAGCATATTTTCACAAGAAAATGTGCTCTTGATTCAAGCTTTATTTCCTATCCTTTAGTTTTTTTTCATTTACTTCCTTTTCCTACTTCCAAGTAACAAACTAGGGAGACTTAGTTTTGTGGTTTCTAGGCTTAGCAAATAAAAATGAAGAGGATTTTAAATTAAATTATATTTTAACTAAATTATAAATTATTAAAATTATTAGTAAATTAATTTTAGTATAATTATGTCAGATGTAACATTTTAGACACACTTATATTGAAAATTATCTGTTTACCCGAGTTAATGGAGTGTCCTGTGTTAATCTGACAACCCTACCAACTTTCTAGTAAAGAGGTGAAAACTCTTATAGTTGCCTACAAAATTGGTGCCCTGAAAGCCAAAAATGGAGGCTCCAGGTCCCTGTAATAACCATCCATTCCTTTTGTTAAATTTTGTGCCTGAACATCCTGTTGTGATTTAGTTACCATTTAAAAAACATAAAATACTATTAACATAGAATTATGGAGAGTAACTTGTAAATAAATGTAAGAAAGCTCCCATAATTTACTAAGATAAAACAATACAGGCAGCATAATAATGAATAGCTGTCAGTGACATTGTAATTAAATAATAATGAATTTTCTACAATTAATTTCTAATTTGTTTTTCCTTGCCAACTGTGATATATTCAGGATTTTCTTTCCTCAGCAGATGTTGAATACTTATAACTTCATTTTGTTTAGCAGTAGTTAATATAAATCAGGAGAGATTCCCTCTGAAGTTCCTCTACCTCTATGTCTGGACTTTATTCAAATGTTCTCTTTTTGATTTTAGGACTTAGTTTGTGACGGCCACTCAAAGATTTTAGAGAGGTCTCGGAGAAGCTTACAAGCTTTGCTTGTCTGTGTAATCCTTTACTGATACATGTACCCTAGCAAAGTACATTCCTCATACAATGACAAGTTATTTATTGGAAGGTTTTTTTTAAAAAAAATAAAATACTGTAACAACTCAATGACATGTTTATGCATAGATTGTATATATGCCAATCTATTTACCAAAACCTTATTCCTATCTTTGTACTATCCCAATTTTAACATAACTAGAACATAGAAGAGCTTTCTGTCCTGCTCTGAATGCCACTTATACACACTTGACAACTTCCCTGTAAGACAATGAAAGGACTGTATTCTGATACTTCTTTCACCTGAGGCTGTATTGCCAAACTTTATTTGCTTATCTAGCCCTCTGCATTACCTTTCTCTCTCCCTCACTTCCCAGTGTCCTCAGTTCTTTGTAAATATCTACAGCAGGTTATCTATTGTTGTATAATATGATTCTCAGTCAGAAAAACATGAAAATAAACCTCAAATAATGTGATAAGATTTTTTTGTTAGAATACCTTCTAATTGATTAGTAACATAAAAAAAAAAACTAGAATGATGTCTTTAATCTTTTTATTCCTGATTTAAAAGGCCACTTAAGTTCTCTGTCAGTCAAAGGAGATTCCAGACCAAGAAATCCATTTTGAAAATGGCCGTTAGCCATTCCAATAAAGTACAGTTTAGTAAACCCTCTTTCACATTACTGCATAACTCCTTCAATGACCCAATCCATTCCTTAGTATCTATGGACCTAGAGGAAAATATTCTTTTCATTTCTACCTTTTCACTTGTCAGCAAATTTTATCATTGTTCCTCCTAAAATTAACAACATATTCCCCTTTTAATCTGAGTTTTCACCTCCAAATACACTTTTCCCCCTCCTCATCAATTTGTTTTCCAGTCTTGCCAAATAATAAATTTTTCTGAGATAGTCTTAACTTTTTCTGATTATTTAAAGTAATACTGATGACATTTTTTAGTGTCTAAACTATACTGAGAAAAGATTGTGACTTTTCATTACCTTAAATATTTATCTACTCCAATCCTCATGTGG